CAGGCAGCATTCGCGGAACTGAAGGCCAACTACAATCGAGTGACAGATGAAGTGATCAGGGCTAAACTGGACGACCTGGAAAGGACTGTCATGGAGCCAGGAGAGAAGCCGGACTATTTTTTCAACAAGAAACACCGCCTCCGCTCTCAACTAGAAAAAATGGGGGAAACCATGTCCGACCGCCGCTTCAAGGACATCTGTGTGCAAGGTTCTTCCGAGGACTACAAGGACATCAAGATGATGGTTTTCCGCGACCAATCATTCGACGTACAACAGACGCAAGCCACTATGCGCAACATCTTCCTTGACGAGCGAATGCGCAAGAGAAACAAGGGCCAAATCGCCGGCCGCGGATTCGCCATGGCTACCAAGACATCTGGCCCCATCTGCTTCGAGTGCAACGAACCGGGGCATGTCAGGAGGAACTGTCCCAATCGCCAGCGGGAGGGCCATATGGCAAAGAAGACGAAGCGCGCGGGAGCAACCAAGTGGTGCTCCGTCCATAACACCATTACACACTCCGACGAAGAATGTTACAGCCAAGGAGCCAAGCGACCAGAACGCACGGGCAAGGCCTTTTCTGCATGCACACACTGCGTGCACTGCTCAACCCAGTCAGGAGACATACACGCCAAGCCTACCACAACGGAAACTCCCAAAGAAACAGAGAAGACCGAGAAGGCAGAGATCGACTTCTCTTACGACGAAGATGCATTCAAGGGTGGATTCATGTACCATGCTACATGCAGCAAGGGAAGCGGACGCACTTTCACGACAACTGCAACTGGGACTTCCGCGCTGGTGGATTCTGGAGCTTCTGAAACCATGTTCGACGACCGCCTCATCCCGAATGGACGTCTCGAAGAAGAACGCCCGACGCCCAAGATCATCGACGTTGCAGGAGAAAGCCAACTACGAGGCACTACCACTGGGATCCTACACTGCACCATCAAAGACGACAAAGAACAGCAACTACCCGTCAAGCTACAAAGTCTCATCGTGCCAGGATCAGGCCGGAACATCTTCGCACCAACGGTCCTTCTCAAGAAGGACCTCCGATGTGTCCTGGAAGACAAGACCCCACACCTCACCATTGGCGGAGAAGTCGTCGTTCCTCTGAAACAAGAGACTCAAGACCAAGGCATGTGCACCCTCGCGATCACATTCAAGGGCGATCCAGCGTCGACAAGCAAGACACCCCCGAACAACCAAGAACCAGGGCGCAAGCCGAAGTTCGGAAAACCAGAAGCGGTACAGATCGATCACACTCCGCACGCGACATGCTCAGTGGCGATGAGCGTGAGCGCCGACCTCTGGCACCGGCGCCTCGGCCACATCAATCCACGTGCTATGGAGATTTTGCGGCGCAACCCCGCCACAGGTGTGAAATATGACGGACCTGTATCCCCGTGCGACAACTGCCACATCACGAAGCACAAGAAGGCTTCCGTCCCGAAGAAGACCAGCCGTGTCCTGACCAAACTAGGAGAACTCGTCCAGTTCGACAACATGGGACCAATCGACCCGCCTGCGAAGTACAACGGACGCACCTACTCCTATGTCGCCAAAGCGACCGACGTCTTCACCAGAATGCGGGAAGTGTACCTACTGCGCGACAGGACCGAAACCACGCAAGCTCTGCACGCCTACAACATGCAAGTAGCATCTGAAGGCTACCGCATCGAGGTTCTACGCTGTGACAAAGGCGGAGAGAACACTGGGGAAGAAATGCGCAACTACTGTAGGGAGTCTGCGATCAAGCTGGAATTCGCCGCGACCAACACGCCCCAAGAAATCGGAGTGTCAGAAAGGGATGGCCAGACACTTGCGGCTGTGACTCGAGCTCTACTGCGCGATGGAGACTTCCCAAAACACATGTGGGGGGAGCTCATGATGACTGCAGCATACCTGACCGACAGGACCCCACACGCGGCGCTAGGGTGAGCCACGCCGTATTCCAAGATATACAACACAACCCCGGACCTTTCTCGACTTCGTGCCATCGGCGCCCGCGCGTTCGTTCATCACGAGCGATACAAGAAGAAGCTAAACGACCGGGCCTTTGAAGGCAAGCTCTGCGGTTACGGACCTGACGGCAAGACGTGCCGGATCTACGTGCAGGGCAAAGACAAGGTCTATGAGAGCCGGAAGGTGACTTTCATCGAGACTCCACCTGA